AGTTAACTGTGAGTCCCTGCTTTCAATTCTTTTGGGTAACTCCCTAGGAGTGGAATTGCTACGTCATATGGTAATTCTGTTTAACTTTTTGAGGAACTGCCAAACTGTTTTCCTCAGCGGCTATACCATTTTACAATCTTACCAACAATGGATAAGGGTTCCAGTTTCTCCACATCCTCCTCCCCAACACCCATTGTTTTATGTTTTTCTGAATAACAGCCATCCTAGTGAGGTGAAGTGGCTTCTCACTGTGGTTTTGACTTGCATTTCCCTAATAACTAATGATTTTGAGCATCTTTTCATGTGTTTACTAACCACTGTATATCTTCGTTAGAGAAATGTCTATTCAAGCCCTTTGCCCATTTTTTATTTGGGTTGTCTTTTTTTTTTTTTATATTTTATAATGTTTCAGGTGAAAGTTTACAGCGTAAGTTAATTTCTCATTCAAAAATTTATATACATATTGTTTCGTGACACTGGTTCCAAGGTGACAGCATGCTCCCCCTTTCCATCCTGGGTTCCTTGAGTCCATTTGTCCGGTTCCTGTCCCTTCCTGCCTTCTCATCTTGCTTTTGTGCAGGAGTTGCCCATCTGGTCTCGTGTATTTGACTGAACTAAGAGGCACGTGCTTAATGCGTGTTGTTGCTTGTTTTATAGGTCTATCTAATCTTTGGCTGAAAAGTAGGCTTCAGGAGCAGTTTCAGTTTGGAGTTAGCAGATGTCCAGGGGCCATAGTCTCCGGGGTTCCTTCAGTGTCTGTCAGATCAGTAAGTCTGGTCATTTTTCATGAATTCGAATTTTGTTCTACAATGTTCTCCCATTCTGTCCAGGACCCTCTGCTGTGATCCCTGTCAGAGCCACCAGTGGTGGTACCCAGGCACCATCTAGTTCTTCTGCGCTCAGGCTGGTGGAGTCTCTGGTTCATATGTTCATTTAGTCCTCTGGCCTAATATTTTCCTTGTGTCTTTGGTTTTCTTTGTTCTTCTTTGCTCCAGACAGGATTGGACAAATAGATGCATCTTAGATGGCCCCTCACAAGTTTTTAAGACCCCAGACACTACTCACAAAAGACAGATGTAGAACATTTTCTTTATGAACTATGTTATGTCAGCTGACATAGATGTCCCCCGAGACTACGGTCCCCAGCCCCCAGGCCCAGCAACTCGGTCCCTCAAAGTGTCTGGATGTGTCTAGCAAATTTCTATGTTTTTGCTTTGGTCCAGTTGGGCTGACTTCCCCTATATTGAGTGTTGTCCTTTCCTCACCAAAGTTGACACTTGCCTACTATCTAGTTAGTGATTTCCCCTCCGTTTCCCCCTCCCGTCCTCACTCTTGTAATCACCAAAGAATATTTTTTTCTGTGTGTAAACCTTTTCTTGAGTTCTTATAACAGTGATCTCATACAATATTTATCCTTTTGTGACTGACTTATTTCACTCAGCATAATGTCCTCCAGATTCATCCATGCTGTGAGTTGTTTCATGGATTCATCATTGTTCTTTATTGCTGCATAGTATTCCACCATGTGTATGTACCACATTTTGTTTATCCATTCATCTGTTGATGGCCACTTAGGTTGTTTCCATCTTTTTGCTATTGTGAATAGTGCTGCAATGAATATGGGTGTGCATACGTCTATTCATGTGACAACTCTTATTTCTCTAGGGTCTATTCCTAGGAGTAGGATTGCTAGATCATATGATATTTCTATTTCTAGTTTTCTTAAGGAAGCGCCATATCATTTTCCAAAGTGGCTGTACCATTTTACATTCCCACCAGCAGTGCATAAGAGTTCCAGTCTCCCCACAACCTCTCCAACATTTGTTATTTTGTGTTTTTTGGATTCGTGTCAGTAATGTAAGGGTGAGATGGTATCTCATTGTAGTTTTGATTTGCATTTCTCTAATCGCAAGCATTTCCTTATGTATCTGTTGGCCGCCTGAATGTCTTCTTTGGTAAACTTTCTGTTCATATCCTTTGCCCATTTTTTAACTGGATTATTTGTCTCTTTTGTAGGTGACTTCTTCATTTATCCCTAGCTGCACTCAGAATTCTTTGACTTTGGTTTTGGTAAGTTTGATTATGGTATGTCTTGGTGACTTTCTTTTGGGGCCTATCCTGTATGGGTTTCGTTGAGCTTCTTGGATAGATAGCTTCTCATCTTTCATGATATTAAGGAAGTTTTCTGTCAGCAAATTTTCAACAATTCTGTGTTTTCCATTATCCCCCCCACCCCACCCTGTTCTGGTACTCCGATCACTCATAGGTTTTTCTTCTTGATAGTATCCCACAGAATTTTTAGGATTTCTTCATTTTGATTCATTCCTTTTTCTGATTTTTCCTCAAACAAATTGGTGTTAAGGGATTTAACTTCAATCTCACTAATTCCGACTTCCATTGTCTTAATTCTGCTCCTATGACCTTCGACTGAGTTGTCTAATTCTGAAATTTTCTTGTTAATCTTTTGGATTTCTAGTTGCTGGTTTTGTATGGTTTCTGGCAGCCTATTTGTTCTGTCGTTTTGTTCTTGTACTGTTTTCCTGAGCTTTGTCTGTGTGTTCCTTTGGTTGGTCTGTGTTTTACCTGATCTCCTTCTTGATTTCTTGGAGAGCTCTGTAAATTATTCTTTTGAATTCTTTATCAGGTAGTTCCATTGCCTTATCTTCCTCTGGAAGGGTTTCTGGTCCTTTATTTTGATCACTTGCTGGAGCCATCTTGTCCTGCTTCTTTATGTGATTTGATACTGACTGCTATCTCCAAGGCATCAAGAAGTTACCACATTTATTTATTTATTGTCTTTTTGTTTACTGCATCCTGAATTTTTGTTTCCATACGTCCAAGCAGGCTAGCATTTGTGCCACTCTGGTCATTAATCTGACCTCATTAAAGCTCTCACCTCCTGCCTCCAGGTGGCTGAAGGAGCTACCAGGTGTGTGAGCCAGGAAGTCCGTTCACTGTTCTTATAAGGCTGCTGAAGACGTAGGCAGCGTTTTTGGTGAAGTGATGAATCTGTCCTGCTGGTCACCTGGCCGTGGGTTCGGGGAGTGTTCTCCCTGGTCCCTGGTTTGGCTACTGTGTGTGTGCTCCACCACTTACTAGTTGGTTGGGGCACAGGTGCCCAGTTTGTCAGTCATTGAGTGTGTGGTGCGGAGACTGTCACCTACAGTCTTCAGCAGGCAGTGCTGTGTGGGGGTATACGGAGCAGGCACAGGTCCCTGGCTGTGGGGGGAGGGGAGGCAATCCAGGAGTAAGGGAGCAGGCTGCTGGCTGCCCTCAGGTGCCCAGATGGAGGATATGCCACTGTCCACTAGAGCACACAGTGGGGTGGGGAGGGCAGTGCAGCCAGTCCTTGGGCACCCGGTGCTGCTGGTTGGAGGGACTGAGGGGCACCAATGATTCTCGGGCCCCCGCCATGGGTGGCTAGATGGGGTGGGTGGTATGCCATCCCTCAGGCCCCCAGTGTGGGTGGGTGAGGACCCTTTTTAGGGGGAAGGGTGGTGTCAAATGCCACAAATCTGTAGCTCCCACTTGGCTACTACAGGTCAAAATGGGCTTCAGCTGGAAGCTCTGCCCATTTTGTCCTAATAAGCACGTGCTGGGTCGGCCAGCAAAGCACTGATGCAGGTGATCAGCGGGGTGAAGGGCACTGCAAGTACGCAGATCCCTACATCAATGGCTGGGTGAAGAGGCAGGCGCCTCTGGACCAGGCCGTGAGCTCCCGGCTTAGGGGGTTCAGTGGTGTTGAATGCCACCAGACTGCTGTTGGAGCAGGGAGGAGGATGGATGAGGAGAAGGGAGTGCTCCTTGGCCGTGCAGCACCAGTGGGGTAAGAGTATGATGCACACATGGTGTCTTGGGGGCTTACACTTAACTTTCACAAGGCTGGTGTCGCTCCTGTTTGGTTCTAGAGGTGTGTGCAGATTTGCAGTTGCTTAGATACACCAGATGGGGTGGGTTTCAGCTTGGGATGTTGCTGCTTGCCTCGATCTGTGCGCACTGTGCAGATATAGCAAGCAGGACACCAGCTACCCAGCGATTCGTAATTCCCCGTTTCTGCTGTTTTTGAATTGTCCCTCCTTCCACCTGTTGCTCAGTCAGATTCTCCACCTTTGTCTTTGATGCTTAGGGTTCCTAGACTGTCATGTATATCCAACTCACTTGTTTTTTCGGGTCTTTGTTGTAAGAGGGACGACAAGAAGCATCTGACTATTCTGCCATCTTGGCCCCACTGGGTTGTCTTTTTGTTGTTTAAAAAGATAAGCTAAATCATGTCACCTCTCAACCAAAAATCCTCCAATGGTTTCCCACCTCACTCAGTCTAAAAAGCCAAAGTTCTTATCAATGGACTACGAGAAATTACATGATCTCCTCTCTACTCACCCAACCCCCTTCTGAGACCCCATCTCCTCCTACTCTCCCCCTGGCTCACTCAATTTCTGCCACACTGTGTTATTTGTGTTTCTTCCCACTTGCTTTGCAATCCCATGCCACAGCCTTTAAACTTGTTCTTCCCTTGCCTAGAATGCTCTGTTTCCAGGTAAACACACCACTCCCTCTCTCACATCCTTTAGATCTCTGCTTAAATGTCATATTTTCACAGAGGACAACTGTGGCCACCCTATATAACCAGCAACTACCCTTTCACACTCTATCCTACCAATCTCTATTCCCATCACTCTGCATTAATTTTATACAATAGCATTTACTACCACTCGACATATGATATAATCATTTGCCTATATCCCTACCCCATTAAAAGATAAGCTCCACGAAGGTAGGCTATGTACGTGTTTTGTTCAGGACTCTACACACAGAGTCTAGAACAGTACCTGGATTTCGGTATGTGTTCATTAAGTATTCCCTGGATAAACGAACAAAGCAACAAAAGATTTTTTTCTGCGAGTAATACCTCCTCAGTTCCTTTTCATTATGCAAGTAAAAGCAAAACAAACAAACACACACACACACACACACACACACACACACACAACTGATTTTACCATTGCACTAAGTGTTTCTTCCCAGTCAGGCCGCTCTCGAGGGTGAACACTTCTATGTAGTTCTGGAACAAAATCATCCTCTTCAGAGTGTACTGAGGACTTCATCTTCCTAGGGAGCAAAACATGAGAGACTATGATAAGAATTTCAATTTGTACAAAAACTTTCCAATGACCACAATTTAAGGACCAGAAAAATTATAATAGATTTGAAGTTTAGTCAAAAGAGCTTAAAGGGCTAGTACTGATTCTCCATTTCTACTCTGGCTTTTAGGGACCTTTACTGATCTACCCAACACCTGCTTTTATTCCAGGAGATATAAAAGGTTTGTAACCTAGATGGCCTATGGGAAATTATTATAGAAAGACTGATTTTGTCTATTCAACACAATTTGAAACTTGAAATATCCAACAGCAATTATTCATTCTGCATCAATAATTATACAACTGTGCTAAGCAATAGTAAAATTCCAGGATGAAGAAGAGATATGGGACTCCCAGTTCCAACCTACTAAGTAGAATATATTTGAGTATATCTAGCCCTCCTGATGAGAATAATTATAAGTTAGACGAAACAAAACACTACTTGTTTGAAGGCACAAGAAAGCAACCAATACAGGTACGATTTCCAGAGCTATAATCCGTAAGTGTAAGAAAGCAAACAATGTGAATTTCACATTCAATCATGCTTTTGTGTAAGTGATTTTTCTAAATCACAGTGATGATAAATAGAGCTCAAGTATGATACTGTAGTCTAACTGGGCAGACGAGGCAGATATTGGAGGTCAGGGGTGCCAAAGCAGATGGCATTTCAGAGGGAAAAATTCCTCCCAAAAAAAGAACTATAGAGAAAGAGCCCAAAAGTCTGCATACAAATTCCTCTCAAATCATTAGCTGATTCCTAAGCCGTAAGTAAGCAGGACAAAATGCCAAGACACCCATCCAAAAACAGCTACTGGACAACTAACAGTCTAGCAGATACTTAAGCAACCCAGCAGTACCAAGGAGAGAGGTTGGCACGCAAACTCCACCAAGACACAGTAACATTGTGGGGGTGGGGGTGGAACTCTGGGCTCTCAACTGAGACGGGAGAAGGACCATTCCTTAGGAGTAAGGGAAAAACAGAAATATACAAGCTTTAATGAACCCTAAAACCAAGCCTTTCCCCTTTGGAAGAAAGTAACTTTTCAAGAGCTTCTGCAATTTTTTCATCCATATCGTCTATTATCCAATAAAAATGATAAGGCATGCTAATAAATAAGAACAGATGAATAAAAATGGAGAAAAAATAGTCAAAATAGAAAGAGACTCTCATTTGTCTCAAATTTTAGAATTATCAGAAATAGACTCTAAAATGACTTTGATGCATTTCGGCCTTCTACTTACAAATGTAAAAAGCCATAAAGAACATCATTCTCAGCGTAACAATCAGAAAACAATCAGATAATCTACGAAATCATAACTTTTTTTGAATCCATAAGAAAACTAAGATCTCAGGGCAACCAACTCACCTAAACTCTAAGAAAAACATGGGTATCTCCAAGGAAAAACGGCTCATAAGTGATGACTTCCCTGGGGCAAAGCACAGGAGGAACAGAGACACACAAGCAAGTAAGAAGGGTTCAGTTAAATTTGTCTTTAACAAAACGAAAGACACAAAAATAGATGAAAAGATAACTTCAAGAGAGAACTGGAATATATGAAAAAGAATCAAATGTCCATTCGCAAACTGAAAAATACAATACTTGAAATTGAGAACTCACTAAATGGGTTTAACAGAACAATGGAGACGGCTAAAGAGACGATTCATCAAGTGGGAGATAGGTCAGAAGAAAATATCCATATTAAAGTACACAGAGAAAGAAGAGGCAAAAATACACACACAAAAAAAGCACAAAAGACAAGGAACTTGGTGAGAAGGTCTCAAATATGTCTAAACTGGACACTCAGATGGGTATAACAGAGAAGATGAGAGAGAGAAAGGGACAAAGGCAGTGTTTAAAAAATAATACCTGAAAAGTTTTTAAAACCGATGAAATATATCAAACTACATATTCCAATAAGTTCTACAAACCTCAAGCAGGATTTATTTAATAATAATAAAAAAACTTAGGTATAAAAAACAAACAAGAAACCTTAGGTATATCGGCAAACTGCTAAAAACCAAACACTAAGAGGAATTCTTAAAAGCAGCCAGAGGACAAAAGACAAGTTGGCTTCAAAGGAGCAATAAGAAGAATATGAGAGGACATTTCAATGGAAATGAGAAGGTAATGGAGTGAATCGCAAGCATACTGAAAGAAAAACACTGTCAACCTAGAATTTTCTACCTTTCAAAATTATCCGTTTAAAAAAAAGTAAAATTATTTTTCGACAAAAGACGAAGGAATTTACCACCAACAGACACTACATAAAAGAAATATTAAAGAGAGTTACTCAGACTAAAGGAAATTTATCCCAGAACTACAGAAATGAACAAAGAACATAAAAAAGAGTAAAAGGGGAAAATATAAGTAAATATATACCATTTAGAAGCAACAACAAAAATAATAAAGTCTTATGAGGCTTATATGAAAACAAAAAGCACAAAGAATAGGAGGGGCACATGCACTCAAACAATTGTTGGACTCCCTTATTGGCTGAGAAGTTAAGTCAAAGATACACACTGCAATCTCTATAGTAACCACTAAAAAGAGTAATAAATCTAAATGTTTAACTTAAAAAGCTAATAGAGGAAAAAGTTTTGAAAAATGAAATTTTTGATTAATCCAAAAGAGGGTAGGAGAGAAAGAATAAAGGAACACAGAACAAACAAGACAAATTAAAAATATAACTCTATCAAGATGGTAAACTTAAACCCAAGTACATTATTAAAAACTTTTTAAATGAATGGACTAGTTGGCAAGCATGTAGAGAAACTGAAACCCTCGTACATTGCTGGTGGAAATGTAAAATGGTACATCCAAATGTTAATCACTGAGTTACCACGTGACCCACAAATTCCACCCTCAAGGTATTTAACCAAAAGAAATGAAAATATATGTCCACAGAAACTTGCACATCAATATTCATTAGCAGCATTAGTCATAATACCTAAAAAGTAGAAACAACCCAAATGCTCATAAACCGATGAATGGATAAACAATATGCTAGATTCATATATTATTATTCAGCTATAAAAAGGAATAAAGTACTGATTCATGCTAACACATGTATAAACCTTGAAAACCTTATGCTCAGTGAAAGAAGGATGACATGAAAAACCACCTATTTGTATGATTTCATTCATATGAAATGTGAGGCAAATCCACAGAGACAGAAAACAGATTACTGGTTGACAGGGGATGCGGGGAGAGTGGTAACAGGGAGTAACTGCTAACGAGTATGGGGTTTCTTTCTGGGGAGATGAAAATGTTCTGGAATTAGATAGCAGCGGGAGGCTGGTTAAAAGCTCAGCTGCTAACCAAAAAAGGTCAGCAGTTCAAATCCACCAGCCACTCCTTGGAAACCTTATGGGCAGTTCCACCCTGTCCTATAGGGTGGCTATGAGTCAGAACTGACTCAACAGCAACGGGTGTGGTTTTTTGGTTTAATGGTTGCACAACTTTGTGAATATGTTAAATGGCAACGAATTGTACATTTTAAAGGGATGAATTCTATGTTATATAAATTATATCACAATAAAAAGTAAATGCAATACAAATTCCAATTAAAATACAAAGATCATAAGACTGGATTTAAAAAACAACAACTATATCCTCAGAGACATACTTTAAATATAAGAACAGAGAAGGATAAAAAATGAGAAAAAAGACAGCATGCAAACACCAGCCAAGAGAAAGCTAGTACAGCTACATAAACATCAATCAAAGCAGACCTTAAGCAAAAGGTATTACTAGAGATAAAGTAGGGCATTTCTAAAGAGAAAAATGTTGATTCAACAGGTTGATAAAATAAACCCAAAACTTGTATGCAACAACACAGCTTCAAAGTACGTAAAGGGAAAGAGGAAAGTACTAGAAAAAGAAATAGAATAATCCACAATCACAGCTGGAGATTTTAACAAACCCTTCTCAGTAATTGATAGAATAAGCAGACGAAAAAACAAAAAAAATTACACATATATGGAAGATCTGAGCCTGATTCTCCAACTTGAACTAATACAAAACACTAAACCCCACAACTGCAGGATATACATTATTTGCAATTGCATATGAAACATTTACCAAAAGAAAACATATGCTAGATCATGAAGCAAGTCTCAAGAACTTCCAAAAATTTCAATCATGAACAGTATGTTTTGTAACCACCACAGAATTACACTAAAAATCAATCAATGAAAGGTAACTAGAAAGTTCTCTGTTTCAAAATTAAAAAATAGTTTTGAATAACTTATGAGTCTAAGATGCAGAATCACAATGGCAATTACAGAAAATATTTTATCTGAATGATAATGAAAATACAAAGTATTCAAATGTGTGGGATATAACTAAAGCAGTATTTAGAACAAAATTCTTTACATATCTAAAAAAAAGACATGTTGAAAAATCAATTGTCTAAGTTTCCATCACAAGAAACTGGAAGAAGAATAGCAAATTAATTGAAGGAAAGTAAAAAGAAAAAACTAATAGAGATAAGAAATCAGTGAAATAGAAAGTGGATGTATAACAGAGAAATCAACAAAGCCAAAGGTTGACTCTCTGAAAGGTTATAAAATGGACAACCACTAGCAACACTAATCAAGAAAAAGCAGAGAACACACCATATAAAGAATAAAAAGCAGGCTATCACTAGAGAGCCTACAGACATTAGAAAGATTCCAGGACACTGAGTACAACTTTATGCTAATACGATTGAAAATTTAGTTGAAATGGACCAATTCCATGAATCACACAACTTACCAAAACTGAAACAAGATACCAAAAAATCTGAACAGTCCTATAGCCACTAAAGAAATTAAATCCATAAGAAAACTCCAAGACCAAATGGATTCACCTGTGAATTCTTCCAATCATTCAAAGAGTAAATAACATTAGTCTAGAAAATAAAAATAAAATGAACACTTCCCAACTTGTTCCCAGAGGCCAGGACAGCCTTCATAACAAAAGCTGA